AGGAGTGGAGTAGGGTGCAGTAAACAGAGTCACGTTGCTTCAAAGCCTGAAACATTTCTGCCAGCTTTAATTTTCCACCTTCCTTGAAGGCTGCTGTTTACAGAGATGAGGCTTAGCTTGTCATATTTAAAAAAAAATACTTCTTTTTCTCCATTATAAACCTATAGCTTTGGCTCAGAATCTTACGATGACTGACAAATTTCTTCACCAGGGACCAGGCTTGGAATCTGGTAGGCTTTCCACTGCTGCTCTGGTAGCTAGGGTACTTTGGCTGGCCTCTGAGTTCTTTATTCTGGAATTTGTGAGCTGGAACACGTAAACACTGCATTTCACTTCCATTGAAAACCTAAGAAGGGGAGAGGAGGCTGAGTACTTGTAACTCTAAATAGCCATGGAGTGAGGCTGACAGTCCCTTCTCCACGTTGAGGAAGAGATCACACCCTTCCCCATTTATCATGGATATGGCACTTTTTCCGACACGCACACACCTCAAATCAGTTGCAGTGTCTAGAGCTGGCCTTGGGGGTGGCAGGTGGAGACGTTTTCTTCAGCATCGGGATTTTCTGTTCCCTAATTGGCCAGATGGAAATAATTTTCTAACTTGAGGCCAATCATAGGTCCCTTAGACACTGTGGTCTCTGCCAGTTCTGTCTCTCCAGGGTAACCCAAATGTAGGCAAGATTGAGTCAAACTCCCATTCTATGCCAGTGACATCAAAAGGTTCCCCAAGACTCTGAGTATTCGCAAGGGCCTTGCATGCTCTGTGGCACTCCCACTTCTGAATTCTTTGCTCCAAAGTATTTCAGTTTGTGACCAGGCATAGAACCAGCCTCACCCTCAGCTTCTACCACAAGCTCACACTCAAGGATATTCATGGGAGTTAAATGCTGTACCAAAGGGTAAGGAGTCACAGAGAGAAGCAAGACCAAGTCCTATGAAACTTGTGGGTTGGAACATAGCAGAGGGTTATACAGATAGAGAGCAGGAGCTTTTAAAAGTCCTCTTAGCAGTTTTATATGTGTGTACTTCTGTCAATCCAGCATCCAGCCTTCTGCGCGCTTTCTCCCCCTGCTCTCCCCATTCTGTTCCCGACCCTTTAAGAACATAGAGCAGAAACTCAGGTGCTGGCAGCCAATATCAAACATGAGCAGGTGGTATGTGCCAGCTGCAGAGAGGAACCAGCCTCCCTGAACACACTCAGGTTCAAATATTGCTAACCATTGTGTCCCACTAGATACTTCAGGTCATGTAAGGTCATGTAGCCTCTGGGTGATCAGTGTGCAGTCCTTGGCTCTGTGGTCTCTCTCAGCACCCCAACTACTCAAGACAGAGCAATAGTACCCTCCTAACAAGAATGGCAAAAGCTCTCTCTGTTTTGTGTACCTTGAGCTTTACCAATGTTAGATGGTCTAGATAAAAGGTTTCAAGGTAATGTGATCTTGAAAACTATGCAGCTGAAGTTTGCCTAAGGTTCCACTAATATCTTTAGATATTTTTATTTATTTATTTAGTTAGTTTCAAGCAGGGGAGTCTCATGATGTAGCCTAGGCTAGCCTCAAACTTGCTGTTCTCCTGCCAAGTTCTAAGATAATAGGCGTGAACCACTTGCCATTCCCCAAAAGTATTTTTTATTGTAGGAAAATATATGTAACACAATTATCTTTATAACTCATTAACTGCACATGCACACACACACACATCATAGTTCATTGTCATCAACATTCACATTGTTGATGTCACACCGTCACCAACACTTATTGCCAAAACCTTTTCATCATATCAAGACACAGCTCAGTATTCATTAATCACTTCCAATTACTTCTTGCAGGCCCTGGCAACTGACGTCTTCATTTCCATCTTAATAAATTTCAGTGCTCCTCACTGTGGGGGTTTGAATGAGAATGGCCCCCTGAGGCTCATAGGTTTGAATACTTGGTCCCCAGTTGGTGGAACTGTTTGGGAAAGATTAAGAGGTGTGGCCTTGTTGGAGGAGGGGGGGGGTGTTGAGGTTACAAAAGACTAGCACCATTCCCAGTTTTTTCTCTCTGCCTGTGTGAGCTCTCAGCTGCTGCTCCAGCTACCTACTTCCATGCCCTTCCTCTGCCACCAAAAACTCTACCCCTCAGGAACTCTAAGTCCAGTTAAACTAGTTCACCTATTAGTTGCCCGGCTCATGGTGTTTTATCACAGCCATAGAAAAGTAAGTATAACACTCATAAATGGAGTCACACAGTGTTTTCCCTCTCGTTGAACAGGTCTAAGTACAATTAGAGAGCTGTTGGTTACCACCAAGGTCTGCAGGCCACTGCTGCACTTTTGGGAGTATTGTGCCATGCTGGTTGTTGTGGCTCACAGGCATCCTTGCTGGGGAGGACTACTGGTTGTTTCCCTCCTTTGGAAGCTTGCATGGTGCCTGATGGTGAGAGCTGGTCAGATTCAGCCCAGGGGCCCCTGGGTCCTGTGTCTGAAATGCATCCACCATGAAATTATTTTCCTGTTGGGATGCCAGGCATTCTCAGGGTAGATGTTAGGGGAACAGCCTCTTCATGCTCCTCACACAACTCCACCCCTGCTAAGAAGGCTGACGTCCATAGCTCTCCTCGGAATGTGCTAACGTATCCGTTATAAAGAACCTCTAATTTTTTTCTGGCCACTCCTTCTCCCTTGCTTACTCTCCACATTCCCTTTCTCAGCCGGCTGCTGCTGCTCATTGAGTATCTGTGCTTCCAATTATCTTCCCCACTTGCACTTGTGTTCATTCCTTACACGCTAACGTCTGTTGGAAGCGACACTTGTGAAGCGGTCCGTATTAAGATTTCATTTCCCCAGAGCCCCATATTTCCAATGAGGTTTTTCCTCTCAGGCAGAGTCCCGCTGGCAGCTCTGCTGCTGTCTGGTGGAGTCAGCCGAGTTGGGTTTCCCCCCTCACATGCTGTTTATGTTAGGTTTATCACTTGGCCCCATGCTTAGATTCTCCTCCTCCAACGTGAATCACATGTCCCTGAACAACAACAACTTCCCCGGGCCAACCCACAGGGTGTTTACATACCAGATACTCTTTTTAGAAAAGCAATTAAAGGAAATGTCCTTCCAAGCTTTTCTTGACAGGCCCAGGGAGTAGACTCATTCCCTGCAGGAAGAAATACTTTCCTTCTGCACTCTGCCTTCTGCCTTGAGCTCAATAATGGATAATCGTGCTAAACACATAAAGCTGCTGTTTGGTTCAGCCAGCACCTTGGCTGACAGCTCACCTCACACCCTCCTCCAAGCTTTTCCATAGCAAAAGGTAAAAGAGATTCTTAGGTCAACAATAAATGAGTTTTTCAGCCAGCCCCTGGGCAAGTTGAGCTGTGTTTCCTAACTTGTATGGGGTGATGCTGTCTCACTTGCCACAGCACAGAAACTAAGCAGGGAAATGTTGGTGGCACCCGGGGGGTCTGGTGCACTGGGCCCAGGAACTTAGAGGAAGCAGGATCCTCTGGAGTGGGTCTAGGCCACCCAGCACGCCGTAGAGATTTGTATCCAACAGGCAGAGATGAAATGGAGATGGGTCTTAATGCAGAGTCCTTAAGTCATCCTCAGTGTTTCGGATGTTGGGATTATGAGCCCTCCTCAAAGAGCTGCTTCTTCCTTCTTTCAATACTGTATCGAGGCTGCACAAAATGTCAGTGAGGTGAAATTTGGAGGAGACAAGCTAACCATCTTCAGGCAAGCTCCATGCCTCTGAGATATATACCCAGCCCAAACACTCCCACCATTCGGACAGTAAATCATTAAGGAAGATTTAGCTGCACACAGGCAGGCTCCTGTACATGGAAATTATTAACCAAACATGGGAAGGGAAGTCTCGTGTTTCTAGGCTTTGTGTTGACACAAAGGGAAGCTTCTGGAGGCTGTGTTCTCTTTTTCTGCAGCAGGCTACTGCGTTCAGCACCATTCCACTTCTGTGTCTTTCTCAGGCGCTTGCCAGCCACCTGCTAGAGCAAAGCACCCCCTTTTGTATGGTGCACAGGGGGTACAGCCAACCAACCCAGAAAGGCTACAGGAGGGGCTCACAGGTGCCCTTCCCTCAAGCAAACTTTCCCCTCCTAGGCAAATCTCAGCTGTGCTCCTCTGATGAGGTCTTACCTCCTCTCCTCACACCTCACCTCTCCGACTCCATACTTCATCTCTCCTAGAGTCACACCTGTCCCTCCAGCCTCACTTCCTCGCACCTCCACCCTCCTGTCTGACATCTCAGTCCTATTCACGCTTCGCCCCTCAGGCTTCATCCACCTTTTCAGCCTCACCTCACACCTCACCCTTCCAACCACCCAAGACAGATGCAGACAGAAGCCCCTGCTTCCCACCTACTAGGGACCTCTTCTGAGACCTGCCATTCCCTGGCTTTTGCTCCATGATCTGTCAAGAGGCTGCTATAAACCACATCCTGCCCCAAGCTCTAGTGCCCCTAGGAGCCCATCTCTTGGGAACTGTGGGTCAGAAATATGACATGTGAGAAACAAAGGGGCCAGGACTCTCTCAAACCAAACACTGCACCCCCAGAAAGAGCTTGCCCATTTTCTCCAAGCTTCTGCTTCACATTTCCCAGGGTGTGGGGTATTTTCTGAGTGAGCACATCTGTACTGGGGATCTGCTAGGAAGAGTTCCCACCTTGAGACTTAACCAAGCAGGAGTTCATTAGAAAAATACCCACCCAATCCCTGCGCGAGTGCTTTCCCAGGAAACGTTGACTTTGCAAATCAGAACCAGTAACTCACAGGGAATGGACTTCCCAGGGCAATGTGGTACTTTAAGATAATAGATAGACAGACAGATAGCATAGGAGCTCTCTTCTTTCCGGACATAGTCCAGCCCCGCAATTAGGAATGAAGCATTAACCATTTCTCAAGGAGGACAACAGGGGCTTCAGAACCACCACCAGATTGTCACTGCAACAACCCCCAGCCTGGTCCGGCTCCCGATGAGCCCCCAGGAGGGCTTCCAGTCACTAACAGTACCTCTTGGCAAGGATGAGATGAGAAGGAGCTGCAGGAACGCCAGCCCCAACTGCGCCCAGCGGTCCAGCTCCATCGTTCCCGCTGCTGCACCGGTGCCGGATGACTGGAGTGACGCCTGAGCGAGAGCAGGGCAACAGGCTGTGCTCTTGCCGGGACCTCCCCAAGTCCCAGCTGAGCGGGAGCTCGGGTTTCAGCCCGCTGGGCTCTCCCACCCTCCGAGAGGGGAACCACCTTCGGCCAAAGCGACGTCAGCCCGAAGCTCTCCTCTTAACCCTTGAGAAGCTCGGGGAAACGTGGCCACGCCTGGAGGCTGGTGCATCGTGACCCACGGGAAAGCTGCGGGACACCAGGGTCAGCTCCCTCACGCTGGACTTCCGTGGTTAACCTCTGGTGGGGATGAGGGTAGACATGAGTGGCGGGCAGCACCTGGCTGGGAACAGAAGTTGGAATGGTTGTGGGACCTCTCATATGAGGTTAGGAACCACGCTCACTCAAACATCCCACACCAGCACAAACCCTGAGCTAGAAGACTGAGCTGAGAAGCTAGGGTTGAAGACTGGTGTAGGAGGCTAGGAGGGGGCTAGGATGGGAGGCTGAGAAGGCAGGGTGGGACTGGAGCCTGAGACGGAAGGCTGAGAAAGACTGGACATGGAAGGTTGGAATGGGAGGCTGGAACAGGTGTTGGCTGTAGATTGCCTGGACCTGCCAGGCTGAGCCAGATTAGAAACTGGCTTGGGGGCGGGGCGGGGCGGGGAGGGGGCAGCACAATGGCAGAACTGTTTACTGTTCAAGCGCTAGGACCTGAATTTAATCCCTGAAACCCAAGGAAGGAGAGACTGTCTCCTCTGACCTCCATGGGAGGCCGTGTACTCCCTCCCCCAGTAGGTGTTGGGCAGATAGAGGAAACCCACCTGTACTCTTCTCTCAGCTCTCCTGCTCTCCCTCCAAGCTCTCCCCTTCTCTCCTTTGAGCAATTGCAGTTCAGAAACCCGGCCCTTTGCATACACAGGCCACTGGGGAAACCCTGATCTTCCCACAAAGCCCATGACAGTGAGTTCAGCAGCATGAAGTACTTCCCAGTGCGTAGAGGCAGGACCCTAGTGCCTCTTTCCCACAAATAGGGAAATGAGCCCTTGAGAGTTAACTCAGCTAAGGTCACACAAGTAAGAGGCACAGCTGGGGTTTGGGCCTGTGGCTCTCAGACCTACAGGCTTAGCCCTAACCACTATGCAATATGGCTTCAAAGGTAAAACTCACATAAAAATAGGTTTAACCATTGTAGTCAAGATGTACAATCAGTAGCACTTTCTACAGATTCTGGAAACAGAAAGATTCAGATTTTAAGTGACTTGCATAAGATCAATGAACCAATGGCAAAGCAAGATATACTCAAATCCAGTGCTGACCTGGAGCTCTGAGCTATGCCAGTACTAGTTTGTGATGTCAGATTAAATACAAAGTTATGAGACATGGGTGATTCTTCCAGGCCAGAAATAGTGAAAAAAGTGGGATCTCCCTGCATGGAGGAGAGTAGAGAGAATTTTCTAGAAGGAAGGCTGAACCAGTGCCAGTGCCATTAAGAAACAACATGTATTTATGAGTTAATCTCAAAACTTGTATGTATCCACTGTGGTGGTTTGAATGAAAATGGCCCCCATAAGCAAAGGGGCTGGCACTGTTAGGAGGTGTGGCCTTGTTGGAGTAGGCACGGCTTTATAGGAGGAGGTGTATCATTGAGAGTGGACTTTGAGGTCTCAGATGCTCAAGCCAGGCCCAATGTCTCCCTCTCTCTTCCTGCTGCCTGCCTATTTGGATATAGAACTTTTGGCTCCTTCTTCAGCACCATGTCTGCCTGTGTGCCACCATGCTTCCTGCAGTGATAATAAGGGTCTAAACCTCTGAGGTATAAGCCAGCCTCTGTTAAATGTTTTCATTTAAAAGAGTTGCCATGGACATGGTGTCTCCTTGCAGCAATAAAAACTCTATGACGGAGACAACTTCAGGGAGGGTGGACACCAGAACTCAGGACAGTTTGGAAAGGCAGGAACCATGACACAGGGCTCCACTTTCTCCACTCAGGAAGATATGGGTGATCACTGTAGGCCAGAGCTAGGGAGAAGAGCAGACTCTCCAGCCATGGAGGGGAGTGGGTAGGGGCAGCGAAGAGGCTGGAAGACTCAGCATTCAATGACCTGTGTCTAAATCCTTTATTCACATTCTTTTTTTTTCTTTTTCTTTTTCTTTTCTTTTTTTTGAGACAAGGTTTCTTTGTGTAGCTCTGGTTGTCCTGGAACTCGATCTCTGTAGACCAGGCTGGCCTCGAACTGTCAGAGATCTGCCTGCCTGCCTCTGCCTCCTGAGTGCTGGGATTAAAGGTGTGTGCCACCACTGCCCAGCTTGCTTCACTTTCAAACTACACCACACGGAGTGAGCTAACCAACTCTCTCAACTTGTCTTTAGTATACAGCGAGTATAGTGATCAAACCTGTTTTGGAGACTCTTGGAAAAACGGAATGAGATTATTCGTGCAAGGATACTACACGACCTAGCACACACGGACTGTTTTAAATAAATGTTAGACATCATCATTGTCTATCCAGACACTGACCTTGAGGAAACACACTGTGTGGGCTTTCTTCCTCATTGTCAGCTTCTCTGTCCAGGAGATATTTGTATAAATTAGCATCAAGAACGGCATTAAAGAGAAGAAAAATGACAAAAAGCAGAATATCTGAAAGAGTGCAAGGCAGAGAGAGACTAGAGAAAGGAAGTTTGCTCTGGTGCTGGCCAACCATTCTTGGTCCTTTGGTAATGCCAATGGGACAGAGGTATGATAAGATAAAAAGGGAGATTATTGAATGTACTCTTAAAAAGGAACTACTTGTTTGAAGTAGGATAAGTAATAAAAAATTTTTGTCTGAATTTGTCAAATGTTAATGGACTGGACATTGTTAATATATATAATGGAGTTTTTTGTCTGAATCTGTCAAAGGTTAATGGACTAGACATTGTTAACGTAATTCTTGACTGTATATATTGTATATACTTATTGGATATAGTTTTTCTTGTATTAGTTATAAGCTTTTTTAATTTTAGAAAAAAAGGGGAAATGTGGTGATATTGTGTTCCCCAATATATTGTGCATCCTAATAAATTTATCTGGGGTCAGAAAACAGAACAGCCACAATATTAAACATAGAGGTTAGGCAGTGGTAGCACACACCTTTAATCCTAGCATTTCCGGAAGCAGAGATCCATCTGGATCTCTATGAGTTCAAAGCCACACTGTAAACAGCCAGGCATGGTGACACACACCTTTAATTCCAGGAAGTGATGGCAGGAGGCAGAAAGGTATATAAGGCGTGAGAACCAGGAACTAGAGCCTGGTTAAGCTTTTAGGCTTTTGAGCAGCATTTCAGCTGAGACTCATTCCAGATGAGGACTCAGAGGCTTCCAGTTTGAGGAAACAGGATTGGCTGCGAAGTTGGTGAGGTGAGGTTAGCTGTGGCCTGTTCTGTCTCTCTGATCTTCCAGCGTTTACCCCAGTACCTGGCTCCAGGTTTGTTTTTATTAATAAGACCTTTTAAGATTCGTACTACAGAGGTGGTTCCATCTCTAAATACCTGTGGATGTTGACTAACAATGATTATCTGAGTTATTATAGGCTTGTGCATGAAGAATAAAATTCTTGTTACTCAAAGCATTGTGGATATTAAGGCCTCTTGAGTCTGCTAACAGTTGACAGGACTATTTTTTTCTTTCCTCTGTCTCCATCGCCCAATCCTCTTTCCCATAGATAGGGAAATGAGCCCTTGAGAGTTAACTCAGCTAAGGTCACACAAGTAAGGGGCACAGCTGGGGTTTGGGTCTGTGACTCTCAGATCCACAGGCTATAGCACTAACCACTATACTATATGGCTTCAAAGGTAAAACTGCACCAATACTCAGTGGCCATAGAACCACACCAATACTCAGCGTACCCTGGACAGGTTGCATTCTGGGTGATGAACCTTAAGAGTAGCAAGCACATCATCCAAGCACGCCACTCTGACAAAAAGACTGAGCTGAGGCTAACTGATGTAAGAACAACTCCGTGTTCCTTGCATTTGGAAAACCTCATTTATAAAGGAGTCCCCATTTCCTGTCTATGTGAGGAAATGCACAAGTTAGTCACTATAGCCCTCATGAGCCTGGAGGAAGTGATATACAAACCCTACTATCCAGTGCTTGTCTCCCAACAGCCCTTGTAGAGTTATGCCTTCTCTCAGTTTCACCCCTGGAAACTCATCATCCTCGTCCTTGACGCTTCCCCACAAATGCATCGCTCTGCTAAGATGCTCTATAGACACTAGGTGTAGTGGTGCATTCTTGTAATACAGCCCCAGGAAGACCGCCCTGGTCTGTCAGTCAGCCAGTCTAGCCTAATAGGTGAGTGACTAGCCCATGAGAGATCCTGTCTCAAAGCAGGTGGACAGCATTCCTGAGAAGGATGGCCTGAGGCTGTGCTTTATACACAGGCATACATACACGTATGTGAACTGTACACACATGTGCATTGGAACACATACAAATATACATACACACATGTGTGTGCCCAGGTATATGAATTGTTCGTATATTTGGTTTTCTTTTTATTAATCTGTCTTCTACTGTCTAATTGATGGGACCCCAGTCAATGATCACAAGATGGTTAGAGAGAAAAAAGATATCCCCCTCCTTTATAAGCCTGATTGGCTGCAAGGAGTCCCTGGTTGCAGCTCCTTGCTTCTCTGGAGCTAAGAACTGAAAATACACCCTCTTTTGTTTCTGGAATCCCCACAGGGGTTTACATGCTAGTTTGAGTCATTTGAGTTTGCAAATTTCTTTGGGTAGGGAACTTGGAAATCATTCTGAAAAAACAAAAAACAAAACTCTGCTGTACAAAGGAGTGTGAACATTAATGTGGATAATTGAAAGCAGAGACCATCGGATAATGTTCTGTTAAACTTCACAGGAGCTGCTGGGCTGGGAGGGGACCTGCAAAGCTGTGACAATGATATGGGAATGTCAGTAGTTTATCTGAGGCTGTGCAGCTCTGCTGAAATCTCTTTTCTGGTACGAGTGTAGATTCCTGTGCTGCATTAATATCAGCACCATTTTTAACATAGAGTTTAGTGTTGTTCTAAATCCAGCCTTCTCAACAGGGAGTCTCATGGAGAAAGGGGACTTAAGAGGGGCTTTGAAAGTCTCCAAATGCAAGTGTTTTGTCCACCATTTTGGAGGAAGAGGAATCCATAGCCTTCTTCAAAGTCTCATCTACAAACTTTCATGGACATTGATCTTGATGATATTTTTTAAAACTTTGACTAAATATTATTTTTTAGATTTAGGAAAAATGGTTCTGTACATCTAAGCAAATGTTGAGTCCAGGCCATAAACAACAAGATGTTTGCAAGGCCTATACCCCACCTTTAAAGGAGAGTATTCCTAGAGATGTAGAGATGGGTCAAGGGTTAAGAGTACTTGCTGCTATTACAAAGGATCTGAGTTC